TGATCCTTCCTCTTTTCCAGATCGATGATCGATCTGATTTTTAAAACATTGGTATTTCTCGTCCTTCCATGAATTTATCACTGTCCAATTTCCTATTTCTGTCTCTTTTATTTTTTTTCTCCTCGATTTCTCTTTTCTTTTGTCCTACGCAGCTGACTTTGACCGAAACTTCCAAAATATGCGCCATGTTCCTCTTTCACCATTTTCTTTTCATCTTTTGTTTTTTGCTAGACTAAACCGGTGGATTACAGTTATTCGATTAGGTGTTTTATTAACTGATATAACTTAATATTCTGCCGTTACTTGCATATGGTTGTGCCCATCATGAATAAATCCACAATGGAGATTTAAAATAGGGAACGACAGGTTAATTTAGTTAATCTGATCTAACACGAACCCGATCAGCTAGTGTAGTCAATCAACGCAAGTTTGCTTAGTCATGGTGAAGTTCAAGTACAAGATGATGGAAGTAACCTACACTATGGAACGATACATTGTCATCAAAGTACAGAGAATTTTTGTCCACTCGTGGGATCTTGTCCGGGCAGACTATCCTCGATCCAATGTGAGTTTTCCTATTTCGACTTTTCTCTATAAAATGGTGTTGGAGATGACTTATAAAAAAGGTTATGTAAGGGTTGATTTTTGATATATTTGTTTGACCAGTTTTAATTCGCAAGAGCGTGATCAAAACACAATTTATATGAATGAAAATTTGGACATAGTTTCGGTATAAAGATTACGCAAAATAAGGATTAAGAAGGAGTAGAAATTGAGAATAATCCAAGGCAAGACGTTATCTCTTTCCTTAAGACAAATTGCCCCGCTACGGTGCTCACGGTGAATGACACTTGTCTCCTAGGATACAATGGATTCACAACATGTGGTAGCGGCACTTCAAACCACAAGAAACCGATGAACTTTTGATAGAATTTCCCCTCTACAAAGGAAATGAATGAAATGCTATAGAATTAGAAAGAAGAGAATTGCAAGAGGAGAATGAATGCTCAATGCAATTGATGTTCCCAAAACCATGTCCATAGGGTTCTATTTATAGATGTAGAAAGGGTGCAAATGAAGTAGTGTGGGCCAAACATGCATCCTTCCAAAAAAGTTGCAACACTTGGCCAAAATCTGCACCTTTCGAAAAGTTGCAACACTTCATTTCTTCCAATTTTGATCCGCAATTTCTCATTCATTCGGATTTGGTTTCGAAATTTCAAATATACCACGACGATCTACTCGACGAGTAGAATAAGTTGGTCTATTTAATTTTATAATTTAACCATCGGATCAAGGTCGAATATTTGGTCAAAGTTGACAAGTAGTAACACATTTTCATTTTCCATTTTTACACACCTTTTCATTTAATTATTTGAACCAATTCCTACAATCCCCCACATGAATGAAAATTCGGGTGCGTATATGCAAATGCGATGATATGATGCAACGTAGAGAGGGTGTAAAAAAATACTGCATCAGGAATGGTGGCTTTTGGCCTTGAACCTCCCTTAGTGAAATACTATCGGACTTACTCGGCTAATTGGTGAACCATAGGTCTTGAGCCACTCAGCCTTTGGTGTAAGTCAAAACAACAGTACTCACATAGATATCTTCCCTATTCTGTACTTAGTTCTCATGACTTGGTTCATTTTGGCCCTGAACCCTTCTTGGTTTCATAAGTGTTTAAAGAATTTAAACCTTAAACAATTCTTATTGAAGCGGCCCCACTTCACACTTACATAGGTGACCTCCTATTAAGAGTATTCTACCCTACTCCACTTGACTTAATCAAGATATAGGAATCATTAAAAGATAATCTTAGCCTCTATTTACTCTACAGAAAGCACTTTAGTATCATAGGAATGAGTTAGAAATTCTAATTTCCTAAGTACTTCATGGAATTTTCACAACTTAGTTGTCCCTTTGAACTAAGATCTTGGGATCTACAGTCAACAAGGTAGGGTTACCATTGCAAAAACTCTTACGTAGTAGGCTTTAATCCCAATCCTCTCGATAGGCAACTCATTTGATCTCTAGACAAACTTTTCTTCAGTGGATCTGCAATATTCTCCTTTGATTTCACATAATTTATGGAGATAACGCCATTTGAGATCAGTTACTTAATGGTGTTGTGTCTATGATGAATATGTCTAGATTTACCATTATATATGCTGCTTCGAGCCCTTCCAATTGCTGATTGACTATCACAATGTATACTTAGCAGGTACTGGCTTCGGCCAACATGGAACATCTTTTAAGAAATTTTGAAGCCATTCTGCTTCTTCTCCAGCTTTGTCCAAAGCAATAAACTCAGATTCCATCGTTGATCGAGCTATGCATGTTTGCTTTGTTGATTTACATGACACAACAGCTCCACCAATGGTGAATACATAACGACTAGTGGACTTGGAATCCTTTATATCGGATATCCAATTCACATCACAATATCCTTCTAATACCCCAAGATATTTTGTGAAGTGTAATCCATAGGTTAAGGTATACTTCAAGTACGTTAAACCCTCATCAAAGCCTTCCAATGATCACGGTTTGGATTACTTGTAAATCTACTAAGTTTATTCACCGCAAAAGCAATATCCGGTCGAGTGCAGTTTGTAATATACATAAGACTGTCAATTATTTGTGAATACCTTAGTTGTGATATGCTTTCTCCCGTAATCTTGACTAAGTGTATACTCGGATCAAGAAGAGTTCTCGCAGGACTCTCCTCAAACACGTCAAACTTCTTAAGTACCTTTTCTATGTAGTGAGATTGTGAAAGTACAATTTCATCCTGCGTTCTAGAGATTTTAATCCCTAGGATTACATTTGCCACACCCATATCTTTCATATCAAAATACTTTGTTAGCATCTTTTTGGTGTTAAGTAACATTTCGTGACTATTGCCCATTATTAACATGTCATCCACATATAGACAAACAATTACATAGGCATACGGTGTATGTTTAATATATACACATTTGTCACATTCGTTGATCTTGAATCCATTTGACAACATTGTTTTGTCAAACTTTTGGTGCCATTGTTTAGGAGCCTATTTTAATCCATATAAGGACTTAACAAGTTTACACACTTTATGTTTTTGATTAGGAGAAACGAACCCTTCAGGTTGCTTCATGTAAATCTCCTCTTCTAACTCACCATTTAGGAATGCTATTTTTACATCCATTTGATAAATCTCAAGATTGTGTATTGTCGCAATTGCAATTAACAACCTTATCGACGTGATTCTAGTAACGGGTGAGTAGGTATTAAAGAAATCATGTCCTTCCTTTTGCCTATATCTTTTAGCAACCAATCTAGTCTTATATTTATCAATGGATCCATCAGTTTTCAATTTCTTTTTGAATATCCATTTGCATTCTAAAGTCTTATTAGTGGGAGGTAAATCAACCAACTCCCATGTATGGTTTTGCATTATAGAATCTATCTCATTATTAATAGCTTCTTTCCAATGCGGTGCTTTCGGTGTAGATATTGCTTCATCGAAAGTCTTTGGATCATCCTCTACCATATAGGTTAGAAAATTTGGGCCAAATGTCTTGGAAGTCCTAGCCCTTTTACTACGCCTTGGTTCTTCCTCATTTGAATTTCCATTGGTAGTTTCATATGTTCTCTTGTTAGAACTCGTATTTTCCTTATCTTTGCAAGGAAAAATATTTTCAAAGAATGTCGCATTCCTTGATTCAATTATGGTCCCTTCATATACGTCTTGTATTTCGGATTTGTATACAAGAAATCGATATGCACTACTATTATTGGCGTATCCAATAAATATGCAATCTATCGTTTTAGGACCGATTTTCACTTGTTTAGACATAGGTAGCTCAACCTTAGCCAAACACCCCCACACTTTCAAGTATTGGTAGGATGGAGGATGACATTTCCATAGTTCATATGGTGTCTCTTCCATTTTCTTAAGAGGTATTTTATTAAGAAGACTATTTGCCGTTAAAATAGCCTCCCCCCACATGTTCTGTAGTAAAAATTTATTAACATGACATTCATCATTTCTTTAAGTGTTCAATTTTTGCGTTCTGCAACACCGTTTGATTGAGGAGAGTAAGGTGCCGTTGTTTGATGAACAATTTCATGTTCAGAACAAAAGTCTTCAAACGGTGCCCCATATTTACCTCCTCTATCACTACGTATATTTTTTATTCGTTTTTTAAGTTGTGTTTCAACTTCAACCTTATAGGTTTTGAATGTATCTAAGGTTTCGTCTTTACTTCTCAAAAGAAAGACATAGCAAAACTTTGTACAATCATCAATAAATGTCACAAAGTATTTATTACCACCTCGAGTTCGTACAAATTTCAGGTCGCATATATCATTATGGATCAATTCAAGAGAGGTTGTGTTCCTTTGTATTGAATGGAACGGTGTTTCAGCCAATTTTGCTTCAACACATATTTCACATTTATGATTAGGATTGATTTTATGCGCCGGAATTAAACTTTGATTCATTAGTTTGCGCAACGATTTGTAATTCACACGTCCTAATCGACTATGCCACAAATATGAAGGCTCAAGCAAGTAAACGAAATTTATAGTTTTATTCATAACGACTTGCTTCGGTACAATTGTAAGAACGTTCAACTTGAACATTCCATCACACATGTATCCTTTCTCTACATATATTTTATTTTTAGACAATAAAAATTTATCGGATGCAAATACAAGTCTAAAACCATTCTTGCTAAATAGAGACCCGGACACTAAATTCTTTCTTATATCCGGCACATGTAGGACATTGTTGAGGACGAGTTCTTTCCTAGATGTCATCTTCAAAGTGACTTTGCTTTGTCCTTCAATTTTGGAACTTGCAGAATTTTTCATGAATAGTTGTTCCCCATTCAATTCTTGATAGTTGGAGAACATCCCCTTGTCCGCACACAGATGGTGGGTAGTGCCGGTGTCAATCCACCATTCTCTAGTATTTCCAATCATGTTGCATTCAGCCACTACTACAGATAAACTCATTTCTTGCAGTCCATTGGATAGAGTGTTATTTGCAACCATGTGGGCTTGAGCATTCTTCTTTGGCTTGAGCATTCACTTGAATGATGTCCAACCTTGCCACAGTTGTAACAATTCCCTTTGAACTTCTTAGCTTTCTTGGAATTGTCTCTTCGCGGTACATAATTAGGAGCCTTTTGTTTCTTGTTTATTGCATTTGGTTCCATTTCAACAAAATTTGCACCATCTTGATCAACCAGCCTTCGTTCAGTTTTTCGATTGTCCTCTTCAATCCTCAAGCGCACAATCAATTCTTCCAAGTTCATTTCCTTGCGTTTGTGCTTGAGGTAATTTTTGAAATCTCTCCACATAGGAGGGAGTTTCTCAATAATAGCAGTCACTTGGAATGATTCACTCAATTCCATTTTCTCGACGTGGATGTCGTGTAACAAGACTTGAATCTCTTGCACTCGAATAATTACGATTTTGGAATCTACCATCTTGTAGTCCAAAAATTTGCCAACAATGAATTTCTTTGTTCCGGCATTCTCGGTCTTGTACTTTGTCTTCAAAGAATCCCATAGTTCCTTGGCTGATTCCTTTGAACTATACACCCCATATAGTGTATTATCCAATACGTTTATGATATAGTTCTTGCATAGGATGTCCGAGTGTTTCCATGCATTCAAAGCAATAATCGATTCACGATTATTTTCCCCTTCTTGTACAGCCGGTGCAGTTTCCTTTAAAAATTTAGCCAAATTAAGAGTGGTGAGATAAAACAACATCTTTTGTTGCCACCTCTTGAATTCTATTCCTACAAATTTTTTCGAATTTTCCCCATGTGGAATAGTAGTATTATGCAACGGTATGGCCATAGGTGGTACCATATTATTGGAACCATTTTGACTTGACAAAGTCCCGATGGTAGTCATTTCTGTTAGTATAACAGAAGTTCAACAAAATGATAATAATATCGGTGGAGGAATAGTACACAAAGCACTATTTAAACAAAGTAATGTTTGCCCACAACCAACCACAAAGACACACAATTTGTCTTAAGATTGTTGGAACGACTTATAAAAAGGGTTATGTAAGGGTTGATTTTTGATATATTTGTTTGATCAGTTTTAACCCGCAAGAGCGTGATCAAAACACAATTTATATGAATGAAAATTTGGACAGAGTTTCGGTATAAAGATTACGCAAAACAAGGATTAAGAAGGAGTAGAAATAGAGAATAATCCAAGGCGAAACGTTATTTCTTTCCTTAAGACAAATTGCCCCGCTACAGTGCTCACGGTGAATGGTACCTGTCTCCCAAGATACAGTGGATTCACAATTTGTGGTAGCAGCATTTCAAACCACAATAAACCGACGAACTTTTAACATAATTTCCCCTCTACAAAGGAAATATATGAAATGCTATAGAATTAGAAAGAAGGGAATTGCAAGAGGAGAATGAATGCTCAATGCAATTGGTGTTCCCAAAATCATGTCTATAGGGTTCTATTTATAGATGTAGAAAGGTTGCAAAAGAAGTAGTGTGGGCCAAAACATGCATCCTTCCAAAAAAGTTGCAACACTTGGCCAAAAAATGGCAACGTCACTTATTTCCTGAAAAGAAAAATACTAGCAGTCCCCTCACGGTAAACGTAGCAACCTATTTGGCCTACTAGCAGAAGGAATGAAATCACAGATTGCAGCAGCTTTCTGTCTTTAAAGTCATTGAACCATAAAAGCCCAAATATTCATGTGCCTAATTATTTAATTAACCCTTTCTCTCTTATTTGTGAAATGAAAGAATTCTTTTTGCAGAATGGTTTGTGTCCATTCTTGCAGCCATCTGGGAGGATTCCTGGTGCCTCAACCTTCAATCTTGTGTTCGATTATTTAATATTGGGTAAATGGTAAATAGCTTAAAAATTATCTAGATTGACAGAATGCAAGAAGGTAACATAAATAAGAAGAAAAGATGGTATCTTCTTCATTTGAAGCAACTATATGGAGTTGTAACCAATATAACGTATGTAATATGTACTTACAGTAAATGATTTGCTGTGTACAAAACAGGTTTGCAAAAATTTACTTCTCAATTGATCAGCCAATGGAAATGAAGATAATCTGAGGATTGATTCCGAGAGTACTCATCTCATCTGCCATCAAGAATTGTGAAAGAAATTTTGTTGGCAGAGCCTGTCTGCCTCAAAGAAGCTCCCAAATGAGAATAATTCCACCTATCTGTAAATAAAGGTTCCTTTGGCAATGGAAGATCAACAATTTCAGTATTGAGCATTAAGAGAACGGTTGATATACTCGGCCTATTTAACGGAGATTCTTGGACACACAACAACGCAATGTGCATGCATCTCGTGATTTCTGCATTGAAACTTGGATTTGATATTCTTTTATCTATGAGTTCCACGGATTTGTCCTCACTCCATAATTTCCATGCCTGAAAGTATATGTAACATGTTCCATTAGATACAGAGGGTTTGTTCAGTTAGAAATAAGAAAGTGAAGTTAAACTCTTGCTTGGCAGAAGAATTTGATAGGGTTTACATATCCAGAAAGGGTTAAAGATAGCTCTTCATTGTAGAAGCTTGTGTTCCTTCTCCCGCTAATGATCTCCAATACTAGAACTCCAAAACTGAAAACGTCCGATTTTTCTGAAAATCTGCCGCTTAATGCATATTCTGGGGCCATGTATCCACTGCAACAAGATATTCGGTCATGGTAAACAAAATACTGAGATTACCACAATATAAAAATGGAGCAATTCAGGATAGACTTACTATGTTCCTACAACTCTTCTAGTGTTGGCTTGATTTTGACCGCCTGCAAATATACGTGCCATTCCAAAGTCCGAAATTTTCGTATTCCACTCCTTATCAAGCAATATGTTACTTGGCTTCAAATCTCGGTGAATTATCCTCAACCTGGAATCCCTATGTAGATAAAGGAGTCCTCGGCCAACACCTTCAACAATATTGAATCGTTTCGTCCAATCGAGAACCATTTGTGTTTGATCTATACATACAATTGATATTAGAAGGTCCTAAAATATATATATCTTATGACGAAATGAAAATTTGTACTACTAAAACATTAACACAGGACAGAGTAAAACTCACCAAAGAGAGACATCCAAGCTTCTGTTTTGCATATATTCATAGATCAACATTTTTTCATATCTCTCCACACAACATCCCAATAGTCGAACAAGGTTTCGATGTTGGAGTTTAGAGATCACAGCAACTTCATTCTTAAATTCTTCCATTCCTTGTCCAGAAATTGTTGATAGCCTCTTTACTGCAATTTCTTTTCTGTTTGCCAACTCTCCCTACATTAAAATATCACTCATTTATACACTAACTATTTTATATAAGGTCAAATTATTAGACTAATGAGACGTAAGGATGAGAAATTACCTTATAAACAGGACCAAAACCACCCTCACCAAGCTTATTCGCTGTGTGAAAATTGTTTGTTGCATTTACAAGCGTCTCAATACTGTATAAAGGTAACTCTTCAATGTTGACATTGTCTTCAGGATTTCTAAGCACAAT